GGTGCAACTGCATCTCCGAGATGTCGTACGACAGCTTGAGATATTCGTACATACCAAGCGTTATTAGCTGAAGGTCCGATTGATTTTCTCGTTCGAATTAATGAATGTTTGCTATTAATTATTGCTTACTCACAGCATGAGTTGACTTTAATGAAATACGCACAGCAGCGTAGAACGGCGTAGAATCGGCATATTCATTTATTATTATTACTTTGTATTCTTATGATACATGTCAGATTTTTTGCGAGTAATGGCGTAGCCATTAATGAAAGTAATTAGCTCGCTCTTGCGATTAGAATTATTAAAATTTGAATATAAATTTCTACATAAATTTGGATAAAACTGTAATAAATTTATTTATCCTGCACGTATTCTCAACGAAAGAGTCTAACTATTGGATTCTTTTTTAATATTAATATCCTCAAATAATCAGAGACAAAAGTACTGTTTTATAAGCTACACCATTAGTATCGCGAAAGATGCCGACACTGTACTTATAAAGAATCGCAGCATTCTTACTCTGCCATGTATTTCATCCAAATTTTACTATTTCTGCAGCTAAATCTTCGAAAAATTTTATTTTACGAAACAAGTAAATCTTCAGATCGCTAAAGAAACGGAAGCGAAGTCGCGTAGAAAAATCGAAGCACATTTCATTGAAATATCTCTTTCCTCTCATTCATCTAATCGCTTTGTTCAATCAAGCAAACTTTCACTATAACTGATAATGGTTCCCGCTGTAGTCTGCTTTCTTTCGCACGCTCGAAAAAAACGATCGTAATTACAAACGCAATAACGTGTAATAGAAAAAACGTTGGTAGATTCATATCAGCGCCGCAACAGCGTACATACATATTCATACCATAAGCACGACGTCGAATTCCCGCTCATGGTGTGAACCCTGTAGAAAACTCTTTCGTAGAAAATTGACGCTAGGGTAATGTTTTCTTCATTTTATTTTTTTTTTTACAAGGCGTACTACACGCAGGTTTCCCAGCTAGCTGCCCTAGCTGTCACACGGTGTCACGATATTTTAAGAGATCCAAAAAGCACGAAAATTAAAAACTTCTTAATATGAAATTCTAATTAGCAGCAGATATTATCGAAACAGATATGATATAAATTCGATGAGATAGTCGTTTAATGCGGCTTCTGATAAGGGATTATCTGCTGCTCTTTCGATCGCGGCGTTCTATGGCTTTTTTTTTTTAAAAAAAGAAAGAAAAAACTGTGACCTGTGATAGCACCATTGCATTCAAGAAACTGTTAAGATCTACGTGATTACACACTTCTATTTAATATTATACAAGAATTATACCGCACGCGCGTGTGAGCTCTGATGTGTGCATATTTCGTTGTTTCAATCACATTTGATTTTCGAACAGTTCTAGAAAAACGGATAATGGTAGCGGATCTTCAAATGATACGTTCGTATCATTAAACATCGTTAAAATAATTTCAAACGGTATTCAATCGGAATAATTTTGTATATTGTAGATGTGTTTAATAGTGTGCAACACTATGGAATAACAATAAAATACGTTTTTATTGCAAATCGTTCTGGGAGTACCGTGTCACCGTGCGAAAACTATTGAGAAACACTTAACAGCGGATCATCTAATAGCATTTTATTTAGCTTTGGACAGTCGCATGTTTCTTTGTCGATCGTTCTTACAGCTTTTGATCCTTGAAACCGGAAACGGAAATAGTAAGTCTACTTCGAAGGGAAGATAATTTTAAACAGTCGTTCTCATTTAGCATGATATTTACGAATGAGATTACCGATGAATATTCGAGAGATGTACAATACGTGGAAATTTTGTCCAAGTCTTAAATCTGCTTTAAGTGAATTGCGTGATCGAATATTCTAAAAACAAAACCGATAAATGCTATACCAGTCAAGCGTTTTTGCTGAGCGCACTGTAAAAACAATTCTCGCATCCAGCGAATACTTTCGCGACATCTTTCAACAGAACGATTGATATGTGAGATTTGAAACACCCGTTTACGATTTCGTTTTTTTCTTCGCAGCATCCCATTCTGCATGTTCTATATAGATCGCGATTAAATTGACGTACTTTAATCAACCTCGGACGACAATTGTATCTAATGCTCTTGTAATCCAGTGCACGCTATCCGGTTAATTTCTTGCAACGAATGTAGACCCGCGTTTCTCGTTTTTTTTTTAAATCTCGGGTTTTCTACTCAATTCATTGCCGGTACAGACATTATATGCGTCCATTTCCGATTTCCGGATCTATTTCCCCTCCCTCTTACCCTCCCCCCTCTGGTCTGATCCAATATATATTCCGCTGTTCATGCGCGACTTGACTCTCGATACAAAAACTATTCACCTCTTTTTTGTTTTTATTTAATAAGTGTCTCACTCTTGTCTGTTTATGGAGTAAGGTTCACACGCCTCAAATAGTCACACGATTTCTCTGTTTAATCCTAAAGAATTATTCTCCCCCGTCTTCTTTTTTGTAGTGCGCTATAGAGATGTGTATCTCCTTACGTACATATTACGTACGGTATTATGTACACGTAACATTTCGTATATGTATGCGAATAGAGTACTAACACAGCACTTCCTTGCTGCAGTTTCTTTTTCTTTTTTTATCGTTTTGTCGACATAAGTAGACAGTGGCTAAATAGTACCTATCAGTTAGCAGTGGTAGTAAGAGTACAGCTTCCTCTCTTTCTTTTGTATACAATCACTTCGTTCTTTCCCTCGCACTCGTCTCGGAGCACAGTAACAATGTTATATATATTTATTTATTTATAATATTTATATATTAATGCGTACTCTCTTAGGCCCGAACCGGCAGATTAATCCTAGACCGTTCGTACAGATTAAACTATAAAAACGTCGACATGCGGTCTACGACTACTCTACCATTGGAATGTTTTGACCTCTCGTACGCATTCTCTCTCCTTATACTCTCGTGGCTATTATATATTATTTATATTTATATATATATATATATTGAGGATGAGACGTGTGTTGAAGATGTATAAATAATGACAAAAAACTATGTCTCTCTTACATGAAAAATAGGTACTTTTTCTTTTTCATTTTCTCTCTCTCGTTCTCTCTCCCTCTCGCACGCGTGTGTAAGTGTTCATGTTTACATATGTATATGTATGAAACGCGCGTCTAAATTCTTATGTGAAGATATATGTACATTGATGTATTCGCGATAACGTGTATACGCGTCAACTAGAAAAAACGATCGGCTCTCTCTCACTCCTTTTCAATCGTGCACCCGCTAATGGAGTCTCGTCACGATACAAGTAAAAATAACATTCGGGCGTTATTTTTAATAGAGGATGATCGATTTACTTCTCACGCGGAAGGGAGCATCGCAATCTCGAATTTGAGAGAAAATAAAGGCGAATAGCTGCGTTCGATCGCTTACTAATGTCGAAAGGACGTCCCTTTAATCCTAAAGAGCACAGCGCGATTTAATATATTCTACTTAAAAGAAGTGTGTTAACTTCATTAATTTTATATGTAAAGTGCTGAAAGAAAATAGTCTCCTTTTTAATGAATTTCATAAAAATATGTGTTGTTTGCTTTGTTGTAATTTTATAGAAATTTAGGAACGTTATGTTCTAACGTGATGCTACAAATATACTTGTGCTCTTTGGGATTAAGAAGTAAGGAGCATGGATTAGGATTTATAGTTGTGTAAACTAAATAGTACTATAATTATCTTTTAAAAACTTCTTTAGCCGAATGCTAAGAGGTATTTGAAATGAAATATTCTGTTTGATTTCGGTTAGCGTCTATAAAATACGCAAAGCGAGATCGATCGGTATGGTTCAATTGGCCTCGAAGATATTGGTATTTATAAAACGTTATTTAAAACGGAATACAATAGATCAAGCTCCGGGAGAATTATGATGTATAAACTGCTTGTAAGTATCGGTTTAGTTGGTGTCAAACCATTTCGCACGTAGAGCTGAACATTATAGGGTTACCTTGCAACACGATATTTAACCACTATGCATAATACTTCATATATGTGTATAACTGTATCATTTTTTTGGTAATTTATTTAGTCGCCTAATTATGCGGTAGTGGTGTAGTAATCATTGCAAGTAATAATCGTAACAATAATAATAATTTATTACATAGTATTTATAGCTTTTTTTATAGTACATCGCGTATTTTCTTGTTTTCATTTCATAAAAAGATACTTTACTCGCATTACGCTTATAATCCATTCATTGACATGTAACCACAGCGGCCCGAAGGACTCTCAACAAGTAAACACAGCCTTCAGGCCCTCGGTAAGATTTGTAGAACCGGTTAATTCTTATAATCGCATTTCAAACTCTCTCTTTTTCTGGATTCGTCCGCGGATTCTTAAACGCGCGACCGTAATTTCTTTCTTACCGATCATATTTCTGTACCAGGACGGTCTGTCGAATGTATCCGACATTGAGTCGCAACATGTAATCATCACTCGCTTTAGTGTCATTATAATATAAAATGAACTGAAACGTAGCAAAATAAAGGAGGATCTATTAAACAAGCGAAGTCATGGAACGCAAACTTATTTCGCGTCTGAAATCAGAAAAAGAGCCTTCACCGATAAGATATTTTTAACTCATCTTACGTGAACCTTTTCCCCTTTGTTCTTGTATTTCTTTCCCTGCACAGAGTATTACGTTTTTCACTTATTTACGCGGCTCTAATGCAGTACGAAGCTAAGGATAAATCGCGTTAACTTAATCGGAGTACTCTGGTCTTACGACGATTTCTCTATGTTAGTTGTTGCTTTAAAAAAAAAGAGCAATCTAATTCTTCACGTAGATTATATTGGTTTTTTCTTCTTTCCTAAAGTGCGAAACGTCAACTTGCAAAATCACAGAGAATTACGCATCGTTACACTGTTACTTAGGATTATACCTAATTTTTTTTCCCCCAGGATGTGGGCTACATATTCTCTATAAACTTCTAGGCCTGCTCTTCGTCGTCTTTGAGATCTTCATTCTTCGCTGCGTCCATCTTTAATATTGCATCTGATGCGACGCGGCGATTGTTCTCAATGAAGAGACACGGCGTAAAACGTGGCTCCATGTTCTCCAACTGAGATACAGATGTTTCTTCTTTTTTCTTCCTTGTGCTCGTAAAAGATTAAAATTTCGCGATTGTTTGGAGTTGCTTCATCATTTTCTAAATAAAAGCAGTTGAATCAAGTTTGAAAGATAAAGGGGCCTAAAATGTAAAAGTTTTTCCTTTATTCTTCAAACCGTACCTTTCCATTACGGAATTATTTTGCGATATATGTTTCATGAAGATTTTATATATCATTAATAGTATTTATACGTTATTGTACTATTTTATTTGTTCGCGGAAATCCGTATCATAGTTGGAGTATAGGATTCGATTTCGGTGGTTTTGCGGTCCTGGACGAAAATGCCGTCAGATTAATATAAGAAGGCGCTATAAATCGATTGCTAAAGGACTACTGGCATGGCCGATATCTACGTATAGACCGCTGCTATAGGATCGCCCTAGCACCGGGCACAAAACCACCATAGTTATCCTATCGATGAGATAAGTTCTATCATTCTTCCAACATGGAGCCGTTAGTATCTCTGCATATGCTAGTAAAACGAGTGTCGTCATTGATACGAATCTTTGTGGAAAGTGTCGCTCTTGTGAAAGATCCTCCGTCCTTCCCTCGTAAGTTCTTGGCTCGCGAAATTGTTCTCAGACTTTGGTCTGGGCAGGAGGCAAGCCGGTAGCGTTCTGAGCTCCATACTATGTACCTGAAATGACAAATTTTATAAAGATGATACGCATATGTATCTATTTATTTCTATAAAGATACGAGAAATTGCAGAACTTAATTTTATTTATAACTATTCGTTCGGATTAAAAATAAGTTGCAATTGGTAAGATTAAGGATTAAAATATGTCGAGAATAATAATGTATTTCTTCTTTTGGTTGAGAGAAGAAATGCCATAAAAAGGGCATATATTCATAGCTTAATTATAAATTTTACGAATGCCATTTATTCGTGTACTTACTGATTCTTCACTGGCGCTGGCATGCGCGGCCTGCTCCGCGAGCGCATTTACTACGGCGTTTATCGTTTTTGATTCGCTGCCAAGATCTTCCTCGCGATGAGCCACCAGGTTAGGATTCTTCCCGATTTTGTTTAACCTACAAGGAGAGTATGATTAAGCGTAGGGAATGTCGCACAGGGCATAACCAACTACTATTCACACCAAATTCTAAACCACTTAGCAGCACAGTGATTCGTCCCTTTCGTGGCACTTTATTTACACCCGCCGCTTATCTGTACTCAACAGCCATTATTATTTGTTTCGATGCTACTTGCACTGCTAAAGGTAGTCGAATGAAGTAAACTGATAAAAAAAATTACTTATTTTTGTCACACTGATCACGGAATTTTGAATAATACGCGAATATATGAAACAAATAATAAAATAATAAACGATTTATTAAGACCGTATATGTGAATACATAACAAGTAAGAGTATAAAGCCTGTAACGGTTGAAGCTGGATCTTAGATGCTTAAATCATTTTCACGTGAATTTATATACCACATAAGTAATCTTTTGAAACTGCGCGCCGAATTAATTATTTTAAATGACTACATATGTGGTAGGTATATAAATTCACATGAAAATTATTTAAGCTTCTAAGACCTAGCTTCGACCCAATAGGCTTTAGACTCTTATTTGTTGTGTAAATAATAAAATAGTGATTTCGACAATCAATTTTTATTCAAGAAATTTTGATAGCTATTTTGTTTTATTTTTAGTTATTAATAAAATATTTACAAACTATACAAATACAATTGCTATTAAAAATATTTTTAACAGCAATTGTGTTCTTATTAGCTTGTAAATATTTTAGCGGAAATTTCGTAACATTGAGAAAATAATTTATAAATTTATAATACAATTCTTCGTATAATCAAGTCTGCATACAATTGGTTCGTGTGTGGACGTGTGACAAAAATGATATTTCAAATAATTTATGAAATATGTTATGCCAAATTATAAATAGAACATTATCATGTAATGAATGTGTCGAGAGTGTAAAACTTTTGTCACGATGTTGAGCTACAATTGTTATTTATTCACTCAGGTAATATCCGATTTCATGAAATATGCACCACTATATCGGACATTTTCCCTTTCATGCATGTGAATATAAAACGAATTCCGATTATTCGAAATATCGTTGCATTAAAGATATTTCGAACGGATTTAACCCTCTCAACTCATTATAAGTATCAGCTGAATTCCGTAAAACGCATGATGCGCATGATATGTAATTTTATCCTTGTTTAACATTTGATGAACAACAAGAATAAAATGATACATCATGCACATCATGCGCTTTACAGAACGCAGCCGTCATAAGTTAGTGCGCTTTCATCATAAATTTGTCTCAAATTCTTCCCAACTCTCCAACTATCTCGCTTAAAATTTGTAAGAAGGTCAATGAGCAACAATACATTGCTTTTAATTTTTCTTCGATAAATATTTCATTGACGTATGTGTGTGTATATGTGTGTAAAACAAGCGTCGAGTTCTAACAAACACATACGAAAATCGGTATGTTAAGGCGAGAGCGACATGATTTCCACAGGCAGCAAATGACTGATCTCCGTTTTGTCGGATAGTACGAAATGCTCAAATAAAGTAGATGGGAGTGGGAGTGATGATTGACATCTATTAGCACACCAACTCGATAGAACAAACCTAACCAAAGCTTATACCTCTCGGCGGCAACACTCTCCATCGTTCTGCGCATTAGGGGATACTGGTCCAGTACGGCGTTGAAATGGTCCACCGAGAGGCTGAAGAGATTGCAGTAGGTCTCCGCTCGGACCGACGCCACCCTTCTCGCGTTTGTCAATAGACAGATTTCGCCGAAGTAAGACCCATCCGATAACGAGGTCGCTACTTCACCGTTTGCCATCACGATATCGACTATGCCTTCTTGTATGAAGTACATTTTCGAACCGATTGTACCCTCCTTAATGATGATATCACCTGCAAGTACGTTACACGCTTGAATATCACGCACGATTCCTGAGCGACACACGAGAAGATTCCTCCTCGTGTTACCCCCAGATGTTTTATTTAGCAAGTGGGAAACGCATTTATGACACTTGATACCTGGCTGGAAGACTTCGTATCTGAGTTTCGTCACGACATCTGAGACGAAATTCGAATCGGCGTTGGCGAAAAAGGGCACGGACGCCACCAGCGATCTGCAGTTGTAGTTTATCACATCCTAAAATGAGGCACAATCTCAGTAGACACATATGCGTTTTCTTTAATCTAAATATGGTAAATCTTTTCGACGCCTTCTAAAAAATCGATACTATGTTGAACATTAATATTATCAATTGGAAGGAATAAAAGATTTCTTGGATTTTCTATCTGCAATTACGCTTTCCCTGAAATATTTTCTCGATTCATAATATTTTCTAGAAATAGATTTTTTCTAGAGGCCGATACTATGTTGAATATTAATAAATTCAATCACATTGTTTGAATTCTCAAAAAAATTTGCCTATAAAATAAGATAAATATATTCACGCGTTGAAAAGAGAGAAAACGAAGATTCTGAATGCAAAAAGGGCAAGCAACGCGAATAGTTTAATATCATTAATTAGAAAGAATGAAAGATTTTTTTGGATTTTCAATTTCACAATTATCAAAATATTATACATATATCATTTTTAATCTGATCTTTCAGTCTCCATCAAATAAAATATTTTATATGAATCCTATCGTACTTCTCTCAATTTTTCCGACAGCTCCCCAAGGATCAGTTCCTCATCGAAGAACTTTCCTTGATACCGATGTTCGAAGTACTCCGTGATCCTCTGCCTCATTTCTCTCGGTAGTTTTCGATAGGCCATATATTCCTCTACTTGTTTCACCTGCGAACAAGTCAGACGGGAATTAAATTCTAGCAAACTCCGAGCGAGTTACTCTCGTACGTGTTGGTGTTGTTATAGCTGTGTTATCTACCTTCTCGCGGTATTGTCTTCTCGAGGAATCGAGAGATTGAATGAGATTCGTCGCGTGTCCGAGGAAAAGAGCATAACACGTCGCACCGCTGATCATGCTGAGCATGGTGAGCCACATGTCGGTCAAGGACTGTGGTGGAAACCTACCGTACCCGATACACAACATGTGCGACATGGCTTTGAAGAGGGCCCACGAGTATTGTTCCAGCCAAAATGAGTCCTGCAAGTAGGCGTCAGGTTGTAACACGGAAATACATTTTACAAATCGATCGCTAATTTTGGCACAAAGTGCACAGCGTTTGCGCGGAGCATCGCCCGATTTCTTGCTCCTTGAAAAGTCACTTGATTGCCAAACCGTCAAATAACTTTCGCGTATTAGTCGCGTACAGTTTATTACTTATTTTTGTATATTGAAAAAACATACTTGTTTATAAATGATTTAAAAAATTGGTGTATTAAGTAATTTGTAAAAGAAGAGAAATTAATTGAAGATAATGAAGGTAATGAAAGTTGAATGAATGAGGAGCTTTAGAGAAAACGACATTAAACAATTTAAAAAATGATATACAGGGTGTTTCCAAATTAAATGGCAAAACTTCGGGAGCGTGTAGAGGAGTAAAAAACTAAGAAAAAAAGTCCTATAGACATATGCTCGTTTTTGCTCCGTTTCAGAGAAATCGAAAAAAAATGTTTACATTTCTTGCCATATCTAGCACCGACATATTTGATTACATTTTCCACTTTCTGTTATGAATTTGTCAGTCGCTCTTTGAAAGCCTTTAACAGTAG